AATTCACATACTCAATGTGGCCCAGAGATCCTGGCCAATCAGTTCGCTTGAGTTTTTGCTTTCACTTTGAATGCAGTCAAATCTCCCTAGGTTTCCAACAGGATTCCAGAAGAGTTCAACTGGGGAGTCACCCAAATGACTCAGTATGCTTTCCTGGGAAACCTCCTCCCTGCCATTTACACATTTTGAAGTTTGCTTTACATCAACAGTCTTCCATTCAGTTTCAAGCTCCTTTGGATAAGTATGGGAGGATGTATATTTTCCTGACTTAGGCTATATGTAGTAGGCTAGAAGATCTTCAACTTGCTAAATGAGTAAAAGATTAATTTTCTAAATCTACCATAAACTCTTTGAGACTGTAGCTGTCTCTCTTCTGTTCACTTTCTATTGCTTATTTCCCTGTCTGTAAAATGAGTTAATAATAACAGCACAGACCCACAGTGCTGCTGTGAAGAGTTATGAAACACTCAGATTGGTGCATAGCACATTGTCAGTACCCAATAATGAGCAGTTATTATAAATGTTATTTTCTGACATGTAAAACATTATTGTATTGGTTGTATCAGGCACCAGCAATGGCTAAGGGTCCCTTGGTCATCATCTCTTGTCAAATTCAACTAAGTCTTCCTACTGATTAAGGTCTTGCCTTGCTCCGAGATCTCTCAACCAGTAATGAAATGACTCCTGGACACCAACACACCAGACTCCAGACTTGCCCAGACAAGTGTGAATTTAAGAATATGCATGAGCACAGTGCCAGGTTTCCACCCCCTATCCAAAAATAGAGTGTTCCATTTGGTAGGTTATTTGGGGGGTCTGGGAATACTCACAAAGTATTCCATATAAATTAATGGAAACAGAGTTCCCAGACACAAAAACTAACCTACTAAATCATACCAAGTAAGTGTTCTACTTTTGGCCAGACTTGGGGGCTGGGGGCTGCAGAGCAGAACTTCTAAGAACAATGCCACAATACCACTTGCAAATAAGTCATGTTTTCCACATGAATTAGAAGCAGCAAAGGCACACACCGCCCAGGTAGGGGCTGTGCTGCTGAGTAAGGTCAAGTACACAACTGGCCACGAGGCTGCTCCTACCGACTTGATACGAGGCTGAAAGGCATCATGGCAACGTGCCTTGAGCACTTGGCGGACACACTCACATAACCCAGCTAATATCAGACGGTGTGACCTCAGCCTGGGCTAGGAGCCAGGGGTATCACTTGAAATCTGTGCAGTTATCAGATCTGGAAACTCTTCACTGGCTTTCGCTTTTAGCAAAACAAAAGGTAGCAGGAAGCAAAGGAAGCAAGAAGGTAGAAGAAGAAATTGTCCAGACTCCTTTACCCTGACTTACTTAGTGATGAATACATACTCACGATTCCATGGTAAACTACTAAAACATCTTCATCATGCCCTTAATCACTTTCTTTTCTCTTATATCTGAGAAAGAATATTCCCACTTCCTGAACAAACAGTATCCCTGCACTATAACCTCAAACAAATCCTATGTTTGGGTTCTATTTTTCTACCCTTTTTCTTTCACTCTTTAGTCTACTGGCCATGACATAGCCCTGTCCCACTATTCAAAATCTCCTTTCCAGTAGATCTTAGCAGAAAAGTTGAAATTGCACCAGTATTAGGTGTCTTAGTGATAGGAGCAAAATTTTCTTTTATCTCTTTGGGCTTGAGCTTCTATAGCTATAAAATGAAGTTGATCTCTGCAGTCCCATCACCATCAAAATTCTCACAAAGTCAAAGTCACAATCCATGGGTTTTCAGCGTGTAGGAAAAAAAAAAATTATGGGAGGACAGAACTCCTTATCAAGGGAGGGAAAAAGCTCAGTAGAAATACAAGATTTCTGGGGTGGGGTCTGATGACATAAAAGATTTAGGCACCTGAATATGGAAGGAAAACTTCTCTCAGCCCCTCAGTGGAACTGTGTACAGCAAACACAAAGGAAATAGCTGGTGGGGAGTCCAGTGACGTGAAGGATCCTTCAAATGATGCTCTCCACCAGTGCAGAGTAATTTTGCTATCTACTATACCTGGAAAATGAGAGACAGAGTGTTTTCAAGGGATACTTTATTAGGGTGCTTTTAAGTGATGCTTTTATTAGGATGCTTTTAAGGGATGCTTTATTAAGTTGATTAGATGTGATAAAGCATAGGCAATCAACAAATAATATTTCAATTGAATTAAATATCTTTCTACCTGTACTCTCTACTCTGCTCTCTGCTCCTCATTTAGAGAATGTTCCATGTGTCAGTACACAAATTTAGATGCTCAGACAGCAGAGGCCATAATTATGACTGCACAGCCCTATAGAATTTAATCAGTTAATGTTTCAGGATCTACCCATCTAACATTGACAACTCACAATCAATGAAAGAAGTTACTTTGTAAATTGGATTTTCCCCCATTGAATTTGATAGAAGCATGCATTGCTTGACTGCCCTGAAAAATATCCAGATTTACACTTGGTTTCCACTTTGTGGACTGGGCTTTATTTCTTAAAGATGGTAGTGAATGGTTTCACTACTGGCTATTAAATCACTTTGAAGAAGAGTTTGGGTGTTCTTTGTGAAGAGGATGCTATTAATTCCAGCATGTTATTTTATTTTCCATTTTTCCCTATTTCTTCCCCATCTGAAATCCCCTCTCTCAGTGGTGTGTCTAAGTGCTCAAGTAATACACACATGAAAGCATCAACTGACAGGTGATTAAGTGCCATCTCTTGGTACCCATACTTCTTAGAGGAGGTAGTACCCAAAACAGAGTATAGGCATTCCATCCCCTCAAGTACAATAATAATCCCTGTAGGGGGTAGTTCTGCAAATAAAACTGCAGCACAATGGATGTATAAATTAAGACTACCAATAACACTTGACAATACAATGAAATCTCCTAATATTCTCTTTTCTTATACACACATTACATAAGACCAGAAAATTCCCTTTCAAACCAGTAGCAAAATACAACTTGTTAAAACTCTTTGCAAGGTGAGTACTACATTCTCATTTTTCAGTGTTTGATTTCCATGTAACCAAGTACATATTTTGGATAAGACTATGAACTGCCACGCTGATAGATTTTCTTAAGCTTTAAGTCAGTCTCTTAGGCACAAAATACCTGAAAGCTTATAAATATTTAAAAGAACTTCACTAAAGTGCTAATCACTATTAGAAAGCTGTTAATCTTCATTATAACATTTATTATTACTACTATTGGTATTTTTATACCCATTTTAGGGCTGAAGAAATGAAGGTTAAGAGGTAGTGAAAATATTTGCCTAAGGTCACATTGCTAGTAAAGGTTAGAGCCAGGATTTGAACCTGGGAACTTTGGCTTCAGAGCCCATGCACTTAAGCTACCATTCAGTGTCACCCTGATACTAGTACAGAAATCTTTAATTTCAAAGTGGAGTAGAAAAGCTCACATATTACTATTAGAAGGCCAGGCTAACCCAGGTCAAGTCCAGAGTGTTTCGGCAATAGAAACGCCTAGATGATTTGAATGCGTAGATTGCTTTTCCTAAGGTATATTCTCCCCACACACAGTCCTGAAACAGGGTTATGGAAAGGGCCCCTATGAATTACGGGGATCAGCAAGGGCCCACGGCTATCTACCCACTCAACCACCTGCTTTCAGTTATCTGGAAATACTGTGCCTCCTTAACGGTGCACATACCAAGAAATGTCAAGACCATCAATATTTACATCCCATGAACCCTGGAGGTCAGTTCAAAAGGGTACCAATTATTTATGGGACTGTTTTAGTCACCTAGGGCAGATGGGAGAGAAGGAAGAGCATGGAACTGTTCCCATTTTATCTGAATGGTCTCTGATAGAAGTCTACTGCCAACGACGACGACATTCCAAAGTGAAAGGTAAAATTACTATTTTGAGCAAAAAATATTACTTCTGGTATTCAGTTTTCATGAATCTAATGGCACCAACAATAACAAGTCAGAAGACGGCATCTCGTCAAATAGTGCCTGAGACCTCTGAATAATAAGTGATTTCAAAGTGGTAGTATTCCTTAATTTAGAGCATAGAACACTGGTAGAAAAAAAAAAAAAAAACATTTAAACATGACCAAATACATTCAACTCTTCCTCTACTTGCTTAAATATAAAAAAATTCCTTGGATAAGGCCCACTTCAGAGCCAGTAACCTTTTGTCCTAAATACATATCCACATCCACATAGTTGAGAAACCCTTTACCTATCCTTCCCTCACATTTCATCACCTCAAAACTGCAATGAAAACAATGAAAATGGAATACTCCAATAAATATAGGCTAGTCATTTTGGGTAAGTTATTAAAAAAATGTTATTGAATTTGTTATGACACTTGTATGACTTGATAATACCTTGACCTGTATAAAGAACTGGAGTTGTGGGCCTGTGGCGCAGCAGTTGAGCTCTGGGCTGCGAAGTTGCCTGCAGCCTCTGCAGCGCCGGTTCAATTCCCGCCTGGCCAGCGAGGGTCCCACCTGGTGCCCAGACCTCCCCTGCTGCACCCGCTGCTCCCCTCAGCAGTGTATTTCTTCAGTCAACCTGTTCTGCTCCCCGCTCTGACTCTGCTGGATTCTCTCACCCTCCTGCACTTCTGACTGTACCCAGTGCTTGTATAAATAAATAAATCTTTATAAAAAAAAAAAAAAGAACCTGAGTTGTATAATTATGCCGCTAAGTTTCTCTGGCATCTCAACAACATTAAAAAAGTTAACAAACAAAAAACATAAAGGAAAGAGGTATAAAATTGAACAGAATACCTACATGATTTCACCAGCACTGACACACTCAACTTTTTAATGGAAAATCCTGAGTAAGTCAAACAGGAAAAATCTGACAACCCTACTATGTGCCACAAAGAGGTATAACCAGAGAGTATCAAAAGAATTTCCCTAGTTGAGTGTTCTCAATTTTATCTTCCTGTTTTGACTAGGTCTCTTGACAAAGGGCCTATGATATTATAAATTATCCCATTACTCACTCTTTTGGCTATCCCCACTGGAACAGGAAGGAAGTAAATCTTGGGGTCTTGCACATACATCCCTTCATCGTCATCCACAAGCAGGTGGCCCATGCAGTAAATCATGGTCTTCCACTGTGTCGCCGTGATTCACACCTGAAACGCAGCAGAGACGACAGGTACTCAGAAATGCTGTACCCCAAGACAGGTATCTTCATACATTAAAATGAATTATTTAGGCACACACACCAGCGTTGTTTCTTCCCAAACAGATATCACGCCTGCAAAGATACCATTCTAATTAATAGTCCCTGTCTGTGTTAAAGGCAAATTTTATAGAGCAAAGCTTTCTGCACAGGACATTACAGCACTTAGTAGCCTTTCTAAGTGCCATTAAAACCAAACATCTATATCATGCTGACCCTCTTGGCCTTGACTTTAATTAGTGGAACAGGCCTGTTGTTAGACTGACTTTCCTCGAAAACTCAAGAGGGCAGAAACATGACCAGTCATATGTTTTAAAATGCTACCCAATCATATAAAGGATCTCAAATGTACACAGAAGTGGTTAAGAATCAAAATATACCATCATTATGGAAAAAAAATATTTGAGGTTACCCCATTTTCCCAGATTCCATGCCCACTTAGTTACTAAGTCATCAGTAGTCAGAGGCTTCTTTTATTTAATTGCCAAAAAAGGGCAACCTGCATTCAATTTATGTGAATTTTGCAGATTTGAATAGGATTTTCTACTCAGTACATGCCAGCACTGTTTCCATTTATTTGTCTTGTTGGCGGGAGACAGTAACACAAGCACAAACTCAATGCTTCTAATAACATTAAAATTTCTCAAGCTGGGGAGATAAGTCTCCCTCTTAATAAGCAAAAGCCAGCACTCAAGAGAGCAAGGCCAGACAATAGAAAACACTTCCTGCAGATTCTGACTGTAACTTTTTTGTTGAGTTTGCACCATTATTATCAGCTGCCCTTCACAACTGCCAACCTGTTTCATCAAATTTGATATGGAGTTCATATCAGTAGGATAACAGTACAATGGTCTCCCAGCTCCTAGATTTCAGATTGATGAGTGGATGCAAATGAGCACTCCGTCTGCAAGAATTATTTTTTTTTTATATTTGACCTTAATTTTATTTCATTCCAAATTTTGCAACTAAAGCTCACACTGGGGGGCGAGGGGGGAGGAGTGGAGAGGCATTATAATCCTTCCAGCAAGAACTTGAACCAGGGTGACAGACTGATTCTTTAGCTACTTTTCAGCAAAATGGCCACCCCAAAGATTAGGCTCTGAAATGGCTGAGGATAGACATTTTTAGGAAAAGGGAGGACACAATTTTGACAGCAGTGAGTATCTATATAGGAACAAAGTATTTTTTAAATAAAAAACATTGTGGTACATTTTAAAAAGAGTAATGTAATTGAAAATAGATTTTTTTTTAAGAATGAACTCAAAGCCACTACACTTAAGGTTGTTATATTTTTTATTGATTTGAAAGGGCTTTCTAATAAGATTATATGTCCTACATTGTAAGGGGAAAGCTCTTTGATGGCACATAAATGAAATGTGGTATGCTCAACATTCAACAAAGGACTCTCTTATCCTGACTCCATTAACATTATAGTAAAATGAAGGCATTCTCCCTCAACTTTTTGATTGTGCTGGCAAAAAACACTACTCATAACACCTTAGCCTGAGTGTACATGCATATAAAATGTGTATGTATATACATTTGCCCCAACAAGCCAATGTAAACTAGTATCTGGCCTCCATATCAACACACATCAATATAGTATGTTACTAAATAAAATACATCTTGATGAACATTCCACCTCTAAACATCAATGTCCAGGGTTACTTCAACCTTACTAGCGTCATCAAGTACTTCACCAATGACAGGTTTGTCTTCGTTTTTTTTGTTTTCTGTTTTTAAGATTTTTTTAGGTATACAAGTGCTGGAGTACAGGCCAGAGGTTTGAGGTATCAGAGGATTCACCAGAGACAGAGTGGGGAGCAGAACAGGCAGACTGGCTGAAATACACTGCTGAGGGGAGCAGCGGGCGAGTCAGGACAGGTCTGCTGAACCATGTTGGCACAAGGGGTTAAGCAGTTTTATGAAGCAATCTGCAGCCCCTGCAGCACAAGTTCAATCCCTAGCCAGCGAGGGACCTACCCACATGGCGCAGATTTTTTTTTTTTAATTGCACTTGTGTTATACTTTACCTCCAGCTTTAAACCATACAAATGGAGGAAAACCAAACTTAGTAAACATCCCTCTATCTTCAGGTTTAGCAGAATGTTATTTCTAGACCTAAACAACACTGCTATAGAAACCACAGATGCTAGTGCCCGTCAGAGCTGAAGTGTCCAAAGATTAACCCACAGCCACCTGGCCCGGCATTACATTCCAGGGTCTCTTCGACATGAATGCAAGATGCCTTTTAGCTAAAAATGTAGACATCAAGCAGTTGCACATCAGACCTTTTTTAAAAAGGCTCTTTGGACAGGCTCATTGGCTTCTGCTATCCTAAAACAGCAAATTCTGCCTTTTTTTTCCCTATAATACCAGTAAACCACTTTCAAGGTCAGAAAAAGTCTACTTGGCCACCTGATTCAACTCTGCCATATTTGGTATGTAAAATTAAAAGGCAGAGATTTAAAAGTAGTAGTTAAATGCTCAATTTCCATATGAAAACTTAAAATTGGGCCAAGGCATAAGCCAAAATAAGGACAGCCTCATTTAATGGCATCTAGGCGACTCACTTGTTAAATACACACTGATTCATACACATGGTCAAAAAATAGTACTAAAGTTAACCAGAATGGCTGATGTCATCATCAGACACGTATATTGATCTTATTATGTATATTTGAAACTGTCACAAGATTGATAGGCCTACCTCACACAGGGCAAAACAATAGCTGGATATTGCTAAAATAGTAAAATATTTGAAGAGACGTGAAGAAGCGTACTCAGCAAAACATCACTAAATTACATCCTTAAATCTGTCTTGCCTTTAAAATGCAAGCCCATCAGACACATTCACCCACCACACAGAAATGAACCAGAAAGACACTCACAGCCCATAACCAAAATGACAGCCCAAGAGTTTGTGGGTTTCATAAATGATGCTTTGAGATTTAGGTTTTGTTTTTCTATATAAATAAAATATCCATGGAAATGTTCCCTTGACATGATGGAATCACAGAAAAGATTCATAGGCCGAGTGTCTTACCAACTTCTCTTGATTAAAAACAGTGAGAAGACTAAGTAGGTGAGAAGTTCCTTCTACCTGCCACTTGCCCATTTGTACTGAGCAAGAAAGCTGGTTTTACTGATTTCCCAGGAATTTTTCCCTATCAAGTTCAGCACTGAATAATGTGCCCCAGATAGCCCATTTTAATTACACAGTAAAAATCCTGCAAAGCATAAAAACCAACTTTCTAACATCAACATTTCAATGGGGGAGTTTCAGGAGGAGGAGAAAAATGAAAATTGTACAAAAATCAAGAAGAAAAAAATTAATGTTCTGCAGGAAATGAAGAAGCACAGAGTATAAGGGTATCACTTAGATTCCATTAAGCTTGCTGCAAAACAAGTGCAAGGCTGAGAGTTGGGTATTCCAGCGACCAATGTGAGTAGACTTTATTAGCAAATGGAAACACTTACTGATGAGTACTTAGTGTCGATGGTCCCCTCCCCCAAAATATAAGCTCATTCTGATGTCGTGAAGGACTCAAGAATCGTCAAGAGGCATAAATCTATCTCCATATCTGTCTAGTTGGATAACAAGAAGCTCTTGGAGCTCAAAAGTTCAGAGTCAGCTTGCTATCCCAGAGTCCTAGGCCTGTTAAGTCTTACAGCAGCTATTTCCCAGCCTGGGGCAGTAACAGATTAGAAGATCAGGGGGTATTTCTGTTCTTAAGGAAACACCCACAGCTGCTATCCTCAGTTGGAAGCTTTGGCTCATGCAAACTTGTTTATGCATTTGGTGTATTCATATAATGTGCCAATTTGCTAGGCTTGACACCAATAAGGCCGCTGAACATTTGCTGTTGTCCATTTGTTGACTCACACAAACTCAAGGCCTAAATGCCACATAAAAAGAACCTGACCAGCTGAGAGGAGATAAAAATACTTAATGAAAGAGAACAAATTAAGTGTGCTCTTGACTTTTCTCTGGAGAAAGTCAAAAAGGGAATATATTGTTTTCTAATAGTCGTAATAACCCTCGTAATTATCCTTTCTTTTCAAAATACAGAACTATTCCTTGTATGTTTCAGTCCATGGTCACCACCAGGACTCAAATTTGGCACTTTGGGTAAAATGACTTTCAGTTTTTAGCCCCAAGTGAATGCCAGCTAAATAAACAATTAACCTGAGAACATAAACACATGGTCGATCTCAATCACCCTGGCAAGTCGAAGGGCCAAGCCTTTCTTGCAAGTGACAAGCACAGTTTGAGGGGCTTTTTTTTAACCTTCCCACCCTAAGAGATAACAAGTCATATTTTATATATATATATATATATATATATATATTCATGATAAAAGATCTTCAAAACAAGACCAGTATTGGTCTTTTCAGCTTTAATATTTAATGAAAAAAAATTTCAAAATGAGTAATAGAAAACTCTTTTTTAAAATATACATTCTTACTACACTACATGTATTTAAGTACAGTCAGACCCACCCATTTGGTTCACCCATTTGGTACCTAAAAGATTTCCAGAATACCAAAAGCCCCTGTGATTCTAAAACCATTTCTTCCTGGGTTTCATATAGGTTTGCCCAAACTCACACCAGTACTTAGAATCTTAGGTATCAAATCCCTGTGGTTTCAGTACTGTGTTCAATTATATATAAGAATCATCATGATGCTGTATACCTGGAACTAATGGAGTGTCATGTCAATTATATCTCAATAAAAATTTAAGTAATTTAGCCATTAGCTTCTTATCATTGATTAGTTTCATACAAAGATCAAGCAACCCCAGGATCTGAGGGTGTCCGGAGTCTACTGCACAGGTAAGCCATGGGAGTGACGAGCAGAGTAAACATTTATTTAGGTAGAAAAGCTACCCAGAGAGAATTTTAGTCCATTTAGTGGAAAATGTTGATCCTTGGCTTCAGATAGTAT